AGGAAGGGTTAGAAAAAAATCGGACAGCAGAATTCGGCAGAAAACAGATTCTGTTGGTGAACTTTGAAAATTCACCATAAATTGAACAGAATGAATTAGAAGGATTTCTTTATATGGATAGATTCGTATTTGAGTCTAGTTTTCAATGGAAAAATTGGAATTAAATTCCAGTGTGTGTATCAATACAGTTTAATGATTCTTTAAAAGTAGTACGAGTTGTCTGAATTCTGGAAAATTAATGGGTTGTTGTGTAAGTGTTATATAATGATGTACTATGCTGGAATTGTTGTTTGAGAATTGAAATGAGTGTTAAATGTGAAATGGATTATTTTGGGAAGATTGAAATGATTGGTGATTTAAGTACAACAATTGCATAGTTGGGATACGTAAATGTATTTATGCTTTTGTAAAAGCATTTGAATGGAAATAATTTCAATGTTGGAATTATTGGTATTAAGAATTTAAGTGGTAAAATGGTGAAGACCATTTTGAGTAAATGGGAAAAGTTGGTTCCAATGTTATAAGGAATTATTAAGAGTTAAATATTTTGATAGATGATGAATTTCAAATATAGTATGGAGATATGGTGGAATGTATTTATGTTAGTAAAATACTAACATATGTATTGTTATAAATTTGTGATTTATACAGATCATGGTTGATTTGCAATTGAAGCAAATCAAATATAAAAGGGCTTATTGTGGACAATAGTGAGGCTTATTTTGGAAAATTATAAAGTGTCAAGGTGAGTGCAATACATGCATGAAATTATACATGGATGTTTTATACATAATTAGGAAGACTTGCGATAAGTCGACCTTGTTTTATCAGCATGATATTATATCATATTTTTGTAAATTGACATGACATTGATATGTCAGAGATTGAAATTATAATGCATTGAGTTTGGAAATGTGATATTTTACCATGAATATTATTTCGGGTATGAACTGCCCAATGTTAAATTTTGATAATATACTTTGCCATGGATGGATCAAATAAAATAGACTGTATGCCCAAGTCAGTTATTGAGGGACATGGTATAGTTGGCATGCCATAGAGTTCAGCAGCAGGCTGCATATTCGGGAATACACTAAAGGATACCTAGTGTATATGGTGGGCACGACCTTATGTGTCATATTCGGGATTGTACTTAAGGATACCTAGTACAGATGGTGGGCACGGCCTTATGTGTCATATTCGGGATAGCACTACAGTGCTTATATTTGACTCGTGTACCCAGGGTCCTCAGGGTTGTATATTGGGCTATTGTCTATGGTTTATGGTTTATTGGTTAATAAATGGTAAGTTTTGCAAATAAGCTTACGAGTTACTGGAATGAATGGCAAGTATTTTGGAAATAATATTTTTATATTCAGTTATGGTATTTTGATCATGGTAAAATTATGAATATACTAATAGCATGGTTTTATGGCATTGGATTTGAAATCTAAATTCATGCATGAATTTTATTGCACTATTTATTATTTTAATTGCCTCACTAAGTATATACTTAGCGTGTGATGATTTTCACGCGTAGGTAAAAAAGCCCGTAGAAGAATAGAGAGTTCAAGGCAACATCAAGCATCAAGAAGTATATTTCTTTATCAGTAAGACATCCTAAAATGTAATGTAGACTTAATTAGTGGCATGTAATTATTATGTTTTATTTGCTTTGTTGAAAAAAAATTGGAAACAAGAAAAATGGAATTTTATGAACTAATTCCCCTGCTACAGGGGAACCGATTCCCCTGCTACAGGTAATCGATTCCTCCACTATTCACTGTAACTATTCACGCAGCACTATTCACTATTCATATAAAATAAATCTTTTGAATTAATTGGTTACAACGAAACATGATTTATATGACATGGTATTTTTATAATATTGTTTACTATTTTAAGAAAATAAATTTTAAATAGCTTTTGAATTTTTGAAATGTTTTTTTTATACGGGTGACAACTATAATCTGTATAGGTATAATTATACGGGTTATGAGTGTTATAAATAAGCTTATGAGTTTATGGATAAATGGTAAGTATATTGGTAAAATAAGCTTATGAGCTTATGGGATAAATGGTAAGAGATTTTATCTTATTTTGATCATGGAAAAATATTAGATATGTTTGGAACATGATCTAATGGAATTTGTTTTTTACTTTGAAAATCATGCATGAATTGTATTGCACTGTTTATTGTGTTAATTGCCTCACTAAGTTTATACTTAGCGTGTGATGATTTTCACACGTAGGTAAAAAGCCAGTAATGGAATAAAGAGTTCAAAGTGAATCAAGCATCGAGGAGTATATTGCAATATTAGTAAGACATCCTATGATGGAATTTGATTTACATAGTGGCATGTAATTAATAATGTTCAAATTGTTTTGTTGAACAAATTTGGAAACAAAATGGTAACTTTATATGATGAAAGGTTAAATTTTTATGAATTTATATATATTTTCGGAAGTATTGTATCAGTACTGTAGCAGTGCATCGATACACATTTTTTATTCAAAGTTTGTATGCATCGGTACACTGTTCACGTTACTGTAGTAGTGCATCGGTAAACTGTTCACGGCACTGTTTATTGCTGTTCACGGTGTTGTTCATTACTGTTCATAAATACGTATTTTGTCTTAAATTTTTTTTATAAAGAATTATAATTCATATGATATGATATTTTTATAATATTATTTACCATTTTAAAGGAAAAAATTAAATCACTTTTGAAGTGGAAATGGTTTTAGAAATTCGGGTGACATCTATAATTTGTATAGGTATAATTATACAGGTTATGAGTGTTACACTTAAACCCAACATAACCACTTATTGTTATAGACCCAAAATTAACTAAATATTGTTGATTATGTTGGGTTAATTGGTGGGAAAATTTAGCATTTAGGTTATGTTTTAAGGGTTTAGGGTTGTTGTTTTAAGTTCAATTTACTATGGCAGATTTTGAGAATGGATTATGAATTTGGGGTTGGTCATATAATGAAGTATTTTTGGAATTTGAGGTTTATAATATAATTGAAACATTTTGGAATTTGGGGTTTAGAATATAATTGATGTTTGTGTTCAAGTTTTAAAATTTATGGGACCTAAATGCAAGCGTCTGAAAAGTTTAGTGACCATTTATATAATTTACCCTAACGGTAGTGAAACGGCTATTACGTCGGGGACCATATTGCAAATGAACTACATGTTTGGTGACTGTATAGTAAGTTTTAAAAGTTGAGATATCTAAATGCAAGCATCTAAAAAGTTAAATGGCTATTTATATACTTTACCCTAAATATATTTTTAGATCTTTTATACAAAGAAGTTAAAAAATTTAGGGTAAGTTATATCATTGATCATTTAATTATTTAGCCCTATTATTTTTACCACCAATCGTTTAATTTTATCAATCAAATCATTTAACTATTAATTGTATTCAATCGGACATTAGTCATTAATATTTGACAGAGATAATGTAATAGTTAATAAAATTGGTAAAATTATACATTTAATCCTTCATTACTTATATTTTTTTTATCAATTTTATCCTAATTTTAATTTAATTCAAATGGTTATTTTTTCAATCAAGATGTGACACATGTCACAAGTTTATTGAAAAGATTTTTAATTAATTTTAATATTTAAATTAACTAAATTCTCCCACCAACCCAACCTGTTTAAGGGAAAACAAACATACAAAGTTAATGTTGCAACTGTAGAAGATCGAACTTGGGTACAAGGATATGATTTGTAGTGCGTAAACCACAGGGGTAAACCGGATATTATGTTATTACCTTACATGACTTTTTATATATTTGTTATTACTATTAACTTTGCTTTTTAGGCATACCAAACATTGACCGCTTTTTTTCCCCAAGAATTTAAAAAGAAAATGTTATTGCCATTATTTTAAAATAATCGTGATTTTAATACCATTATATTAAAATAATCATAATTTTAACGTCATTATGTTTTTATTAGAGTAATCTTTACATTCTTGATGTATGAACTTAGCAATTTTTAAATTTATCTTTTATTTTTAAATAATTTTGATTTAAATTATTTAAAAATTATTTTTTATAGTCAACAATTTATTAATAGATTTTACAATTTATTATTTTTAATAAACTGTTGATTATAAAAAAATAATTTTTAAATATTTTAAATCAAAATTATTAAAAATAAAATATAAATTTAGAAGCCTTTAAGTTCATACACCGAGAATATAAAAATTATTTTAATAAAATATAATGACGTTAAAATTATGATTATTTTATTATAATGGTATTAAAATCACGAATATTTTAATATAATGGCGATAAAATTTTCTTTTCAAAATTCTAGAATAAAACCGGTCCATGTTCGGTAAGCCTAAAAAACAAAGTTAATAGTAATAACAAATATATAAAAGATCATGTAATCTAACAACAAATATTGGGTTTACCGTACTCTTTTGAGCGCACCAAATCTTCTTTCCTGTCCCAGGCTCGATCTCTCACAGCAACAATTTACTATGTTGTTTGTTTTCACTTTAAAATGGTGGTGATCATTTTATTGGTGAAAAGATTTATTAAATTTAAATATTAAAATTAATTAAAAAAACTCTCTATTCAACTTGTATATCACATCTTGATTGAAAAATTAATTATTTATATTAAACTCAAATTAATTACAAGTAATAAGGATTAAATATTAAAAATTAATGACATGATTGAATATAATTAACAATTAATTAATACTAAATAATTAAATAGTCAATGGTATAATTTACTTAAAATTTTACTATCAAAAGCCTAAATGTGAAGTTTACCGGGCAAATTTAGTTGGACGATCTAAGCATAATAATAATAATAATATTTTGAGAAATGTAGGAGCTGAAAAATTAATTTTAAATAATAATAAATTCAAAAATAAGATGTGTGATTGTTGGAATTTCTATGCGAGTTACGTTACGTAAAAAAGTGGAAATCAATAAAAAGAGAGAAACAAATGGCTCTAAATTATTTCCTTCGTTCTGCTAAAATGGGAACCTTAACTATAAACCTGGCGATGCCACATAGCACTCAATCAGTCAAATCCCACCACGTCGCGGTAGTCGGAGCCGGAGCCGCCGGCCTCGTAGCGGCGAGGGAGCTCTTCCGAGAGGGTCACTCTGTGGTCGTATTCGAACGCGGGAACGAAATCGGCGGTACTTGGGTCTACACCCCTCATGTGGAGCCCGATCCATTGGGACTCGACCCAAAACGACCCATCGTTCACTCTAGCCTCTACAGCTCTCTTCGGACTAATCTCCCTAGGGAGGTTATGGGGTATGTGGACTTTCCCTTCGTGACCCGACCCGGTAAGAGTAGGGATCCAAGGAGGTACCCTGGTCATAGGGAAGTGTTAATGTATCTGAAGGATTTTGCCAGAGAGTTTGGGGTTGAGGAAATGGTGAGATTCGAGACGGAAGTGGTTAAAGTCCGAATTTTGGAGAACGGGAAATGGAATGTCCAGTCCAAGAAGACGAGTTGTTTCATTAATGAGAATGAAAAGAAAAACAATTACAATGATGATGTTGACATTATTAGTAAAAGTACAGTTGAATTTGATGAGATTTATGATGCTGTAGTAGTCTGCAATGGACACTACACTCAGCCTTGTGTTGCCGAAATTCCAGGTAAAGTTTCGTGCTTCTTGTTTTCATGTATTTTTGGGGTTAAATCTTGAAAAATAATGAATCTTTTTTTGCTCCTTTTTTTTAAAAGGGAAATGGGAATCAAAGATGCTTAGAGGTGCTTGTTTTTATTTATGCAAATAATCAATTTAACTTCCTTTAACTTATGAAGTTTAGATTGATTTGAAGGGTAGTTGATTAAACAGGTTGAATTCAGTTAGAAGATCATTATATCAGTTTCACCATTCATTCGGATGTAAATTATATGGTGGTTGAAGTGTTATTCTGATATCCTTTGCACGCATTAATTGATTGATTTGAAAATGGATTCCTGGTTCACATTTGTGGAAGAATAGATGTTTATATGTTCCCTTATTTTCTTCCAGGCATCAATTCATGGCCCGGAAAGCAAATGCATAGCCACAATTACCGCACTCCTGAACCCTTTAGAGATCAAGTATGTATCAGATTTTTACTTTTTGTTTTCCTAAAATTGTACTTGTAATGCATTGCTGCGTACAGATTCCTTGAATATCACTAAGTTTTTAGATATAATCCACAGCTATTATTAACTCCTCCTAGGATTTGCAATATTAGCAGGAACTTTGTCAATCATATGTTCTTTCTATTGTTTGCTGCACTAAGGAATTACTTCTCTTGATAAATTCAATCTGTGCCTTTGACAGGTTGTAATTCTAATAGGGAGTTCTTCGAGTGCTGTTGACATATGTAGGGACTTAGCTGCAGTTGCCAAAGAAGTACATGTTGCATCTAGATCAGTGGCAGATGAAACATATACAAAACAGCCTGGATATGATAATTTATGGTTTCATTCCATGGTATGGTGTTGCCTGGCTGTCATGAGACTATGGAGTGTTTATATTAGATGAAAGACGGGTGGATTTAAAACACTAATATTTGGCAATGATGCAGATAGATAATGCCTGTGACGATGGCGGAGTGGTTTTCCGAAATGGAAAAGTGGTGCTTGCTGGTGTCATTATGCACTGCACCGGGTAACTACTAATCTTCATCTGATTTTGTCTGTCTTTTGGTTTGGGAGTGGCTTCTCTTATACTGTGTTGATGTAAAAAATTGCATTCTGAACTTCCTTTGTTCCTTCTAAAAGGTACAAGTATAACTTCCCTTTCCTTGACACAAAAGGCATTGTGACTGTAGACGATAATCGTCTCGGGCCACTGTATAAGCACGTTTTTCCCCCAGTGTTAGCCCCATACCTTTCATTTATTGGGATACCATGGAAGGTGTGTTTCTACTCTTTTATTATCTAATTTCCATTATACTTCTTCATAACAGAAATAATTATTTTGTTTATCTCATTAATTTACCAGATTGTTCCATTCCCCTTGTCTGAGTTGCAAAGCAAATTGGTTGCTGGTGTTTTGTCGGGTCGAATTACACTTCCATCGCAGAAAGAGATGACAGAAGATGTTAACTCATTTTACTCGACACTTGAGGCTTCTGGTATACCAAAGCGGTATACTCATTGCATTGGTGAATCTCAGGTAATATTTATCTTGTCAGGGAGCTTATTCCGTGCTGTAAATCTCTTGTGCTATTTCTGATCTTGTATTTGGAGCTGAGATGGTTCCCATTTTTCACTTGAAGTTCATCATACATTGTTGCAGTTTGAGTACAATAACTGGCTTGCTGCACAATGTGGTTGTCAAGGTGTTGAAAAATGGAGAAAGCCAATGTACACTGCGGCTTCTGCAAATCTGCGTCTTCGACCAGAGACGTACCGTGATGAATGGGAAGATCACGATCTGGTTTTGGAAGCATATGAGGACTTCGTTAAGCACACCTCAACATCAAACCTTTAAGGGAGCGTTTGGTTCGAGGTATCTCACATTACCAGGGGGAATATAATGTGATTCTCCCGTTTGGTTCACAAACATTCTCAACCCCGGTAATAAGTTATTCCCAACAGTAGTATTTTGAAGGTATATTATCGGGAATGTGATTTACCTCTTCTCTTAGGTATTGTTATATTTTCGGTGTTTTGGACTAAAATGCTCTTAATTTTTTTTTCCAAAAATATTTTTCTTCTGTCGTTGAATAATTTTTTTTACGAAGGTTAAATTACAAATATATTCTTAAACTATTTTAGATTTATAAAAAAAAATTCATAACTAGAATTTTATAGAAAGTTTAATAGTTAAAATAAAATTTTACCCTTTTATTAAACTTATTTTTCTTTTCAATTTTGTAAAAAATTATATAAATTTTATAAATTTAAAATTTTTAAAGAAAATATATAAATTAATTATAGTAAAATTATAGTAGAATTTAACTTGTTAAAATATATATATATATAATAAGGACAATTTGATAAAATATATATTCTAATAATATTTTATTTCTTTAACCAAACACTATAATCTTACATTGCTGTTAAATGAACCAAACACAACAATAATATAATATTCAGTAATCTTATTCTCACCGATAAATTTATTCTCGCCGATAATTTTAAATTTCATAAAACAAATTCACCATAAGAGACAATAAAAGTAAATGATGTAGCCATTTGAAAATGTTTTACACCCATTCACCCTGTTGTATTCAACTAAACCTTGATGATTTAATAGTAAAAAGAAACCTTTTAATTCTCATTGCAGTTCTTATAAAGTTTTTGGCAGCAAACTGCAGTAATACTGTCTGGTAAGAACCTTTATACAGCATGCGTTCTGTAATGCGTGGAACATCAAATCAGACTTCAATTGCACACTGTTGCGTGTAATTAAGATGCACAGTTGAACAAATATACACGTCGGAGAAAGTAACACGGAAATGGGTGACTGTCTTACGGATACGTCTGAAATTAGGTTTCGATTGAATAAAAATATTAGAGTCGTTATAAATTATTTTAAAATTATTTAGGTTGATCGGACACCATCTTACCTAATTTGTATTTTACTAAAAGTATATCGGATTCGAAAGTCGATTAAAGTCAAGAAAGAATTAACACCTTGAACTGTCCTTTCGGTACCGTTTAATTTGTTGGTTGTCTTAATTTACGAAAATAAAAATTTAAATTGAAATTTAAAAAAAAAATGATTTAAACTGATTACCTTTGATTGGTTGAAATTCCTCTAAAAAAGTCAAAAAATAAAATGTTAGATCATAAAATAAAATAAATAAATGCTAAACAAAAAAAAAGAAATAATTTTAGAAGGTTAAATTAAGAAATAAGAAAGAAAAAAATAATAATAAAGTGAAATAATGTTACAAGAGAGATAAATAAAAAGAAAAAAATAAATAAAAATATTAATTTCTAAAAAAGAATAAAAATAAAGTAAAATAAATTTAAAATTTTTAAAAAATAATAATAATTTTTATTCCGAAAAAAATAAAAGAAATAAAAAATTTGAAGAAAGTATTAAAGGATCAAATCGGAACGAATTAAAATTTATAGACCAAATTGATGCTAAAAAATGGGCTGCAACAGAAAAACAAAAATATAAGGGGGTCAATTCAAAAAATATAAGAAATTTAAGCAGGGATGAAAGTGAATAAATTGAAAATTCAGAGATAAAATTGTAATAGGTGGCAAAACGAATTACACATCAAAATACGAAGGACTGCGGAAATAATTTAACTATTGGCTAATTACAACAAGGTCTCTCGGTTATAAATAGACAAAAAACCAAAAAAAAATATCATTTGAAGCCTAAACCCGAAAAGAACCCTCTTCCCCTTCAAAAAAAATCTCTCCCCTCTTCAACCGGCCCCGATGGTCGGCCACCGCCCAGTTGCCACCGACCGCCATTCCACCGCACCCAAAATGCTCTCCTCAACCCGGGAAACCTGAAACCTAAACCCCAAATACCCTAAAAACCACCCTCCAATCATAGATCTAAGCAAAAAGATGCGATTTTACCCTTTTTTTATTGAAAAATCTCTTTGTTTTCCGGTGATTTTTCATTCTCCGAGCACTACCGAGACCTCTCCTTTCCTTTATATGCAAGATGGTTTTTTGATGTTGGGTATTTCGGTGCTTTTGTATTTTTGCTATTTTTTCTCTGTGATATTTGTAGTGTTTGAATCGGTTTGAGTTTGTTTTTGGTGTGTTGTTGCTCGATTTTTGTTGTGGTAGTGTTCGGCTCTGGTTGCTTCTCAGCTCATTAGTTGTATTGCTTGGCCTCACTGGGGGCTTTTTATAGCCCCGGTTTTGGCCGTTTTGGGTCCCGAACGGCACGAGATTCGTGGGCTATTTGTGTGGTTGTGGGTTGACCGAAAATCCTGGGATGGTGCAGGCCCGGGTTCTTCAGTCAAACGTCTCGGCCGGTCGTTTCGCGTGCTTGGCTCTTGACCTTCCTGACTGTGTGGTATTGGATTTGATGATAAAACCCTAACCTTCTACTGAGTCAGGTAGACATGTTAAGTTTTCCGACCGGGTTGACCTGCTGGTTCACTGGGTCAGGTGGGCATGTTGCTGTGCTTCCCGGACTCGGACCCTTCCTCTGGACTTTAGACTCTTTGGACCTATAAAAATAAAAAAAAATAATAAATAATAAATAATAAAATAATGAATAATATAATACTATTGTCATAACCGTTTTTAGGTTGGATCGATTATTTATCGTTTTAAAAACAGTTACGACTTTTAATTTTAGAAAATGGGTGATTTTGAATTAAATTGGATAAAATTGGATAGAATCACCATCAACCTTTGTGTTAGGTAGGTTGAATACCTAAAAACGTCTTTTAAAAACAATTTTAAGAAAAATCATTTTTAAGACAAAAGTTGGTCTGCGTTTACCAAAGATTCGATTAAAACGGGTTCGGGAGTCGATTACACGTGGGGAAGGATTAGCACCCCCACAGCGCCCAAAATTGGTATTGTTTTGCTTACACGTTGTCGTAATGGTGAAAATCCTAAATAAAATATCAAGTTAAAATATGATCCATTTATTAAATATTATTAACTTGCTTCAAATTAATTAATTAAAGAAACTATTTATTTGAACAATAGATCTAGCAAAAACATAAACTTAAAGGACTAAAATGGTAAAAACAGAAACTTACAAGGCTAAAACAACTAAAACAGAAATTTATAGGATATAAATAGCAAAAATAGAAACTTAAGTGACTAAAATAAAATAACAGAAATTAAGGTGTCAAAATCAGGAAAGCATATATATTCAGATACTGGAATGAAAAATATGCATAAAAGTTTAGGGACTAAACAGAAATTATACCAAAAATACATATATTATTATAAAAGAGTTACCGGCCATCGTGTTGCTGTGCCGCCGTGCCACCATCCGATCGTCCTGAAACTTCAGTATGTTGTTCGTGTTGACCTCGCGCAACTTTTGACCATTCAAAATGTTGATCGGACGTCTCGATCGCCGGCGAGAGGCCAAAAACCGTCCGGATTTATTTTCTTCGATTCACCACCGTCCACCTTCCGGATTTAAATTTAGGTCAAAAATTAAAATTTATAAAATCAAAGCATTTGAAGAGTTGATATCAATTTTTAGAGAGAATCATTTGCATTGAGAATCAAATTTGACCAAAATTCATTATGATGAACTAAAAATTATGAAAAATCATTAAAACTTTAAAATGTTCATCATAAAGTATTTTTAAACATACATGAGATTAAAAACAATGCATAATCATTTAAAATCAAAACTCATGCATGCATAAACAAAATGAGCAACCAAATAACCAAAATAAAAGCATTAAGCTTATAGGTTACCCATTCATTTTTCAAGTGTGGCTAGAGCATCTCAATTTCTTCATTTTCATCACCATTGCTCCCACACACCTACAAGAGACATTTATTTGGATTTTGGTATCCAAATTGCTTTGGATCCTTAGACGTTAGTTTCAATGCCCCTTGTTCCCTTAGAACCCATACTTGTCTAATTTTAAAAGATTTTATTTTTTATAGGACAAACATGTTCCATATGACCATGATAATGGCAATGTGAGCATTTTGCCATTATTAAACTAAATGAATTATTTAAACTGATTTTTTTCTTTTGTTAAGCATTCAAGCTTAACTTTTAAATCAAAATTTTCTTTTTCAAAACTTTCAATTTTCATTTTTGAAAGCTCTAAATCCTTTTTCAACATTTCATTTTGATTTTCAAAATCTATTTTAGCTTTAAAAAGAAAATCATTTTCAATTTTAAATTTTGAAATCATTTTCAATTTTAAATTTTGAAATTATTTTCTTATATTTGGAGTTAATGGTCTCAAACTCCAAAAATAATTCATTGTATGCATCTTGTAACTCATTAAAAGAACAAGAATTTAATTCATTTGGGTTAGAAGATACATCGGGCTCTTCACGAGCCATTAGAGACACCACCTTCGTTGGTTCTTCTTTCTTGTCTCCATAGATTTCCTTGAGCTTACTCCAAAGCTCCTTGGCATTCGAACAAGAAGAAACTCCTTCATAGATATCATGACCAAATGCACAAAACACCATGTGCATGGCCTTGGCATTTTGTTGAGCTTTCTTCCATTCTTGGTCACTTCACTTCTTCTCCTTCTTCGTAGGAGAAGAGTAAGATCATTGGATTGGATAAATAACTTCATTAATTTGTGCCAATGACGGTAGTTTGTTTCATTAAAATGTGGAGGCTTGTCGATTGGTTGGGAGTATTCCATGTAGAACGAGCCGGAGGTGGAAGCCATCTTCTCGGTTGTGCTTGGAATCAATAGAGCTTCTTCTAGGATCATCTTAAGGTTGTTAAACCTTCTAACGAGTCAAACTCTGATACCAATTGTTGGGATTTACAGAAGCTCAAATTGACAACCGAAAGAGTTTGCAAAGAGGGGTTGATTTGGTTTTTGTGTTTAGGGAGTAAGGAGATTAGAAGATAGACAAAATCCACATTGATTTATAGTGGTTTGACTTCTCAACCAAGTCTACATCCACTACCTTAGCTCCTCACAAAAGACTTTCTAACAAATTTACTAATTTGTTCTTTCTTTTTACAAGATCAAGAGTAACCTTTACAACTCCCTAGCTTTCAACGGGCTCAGCTAGAACCAATCCCTATCTTTTCACTTGGCTAAGATAGAACCAATCCCCTT